CTTACTTGTCCATATTTTTCTTTGATGCTAATCATAATTTGTATATGCAGTTTGAGTAAAAAAGCATTGATTTCAAGCCTGGCACTTGATGATAATTTTACTACACTATTCATTTCTTAAAAAGTTAAGGCTTTTTTTGATAATTTTGTGTTTGAACATCTTTACTCTCTCTCACCCCCCTGTCCCTCTCCCCTGCCTTTCTGTTTGTCTCTTTGATATTTTTATCTTTTCAAAGTTTTCTCCTTCCTCTTCTTAAAATTAAGGGCAACATGAATATGAAAATGAATACACTGGAAAAGCAGGGCATTCCACAGTTTATTTGAATAGTGAGCGGAAGTTACAGTGTCTACGAACACTTCACATTCAGTCATAAGTGATAAATCATGGAGGATTACACTGTGTATGTTTGGGAGCCCAGCTTTAGAAAACTGAATGAATGAAGTGAATAAACAAAAAAAAAATACCACGGAAAGAGATCATAAAACAAAACAATTATTAATTTATTATGTTAAGGATTCTCTTGGAAGTTGATTGTGCATATATATTCTTTAAATGTGACCATTTTACCTCCCCCCTTCTGGACATTTACCCTTGTTTCCCTCTTTCTGCTTATTTCCTCAGCTTACCTTTCACAATCACTAGCTTTGGGAGATGTCCAGAGACCATTTAGAAATTTATTTTGATGATACTCCCTTGAAAACAGTAAATCACCAAATGTTTTTTTGGTGATACTTCCTTGTAAACATTAAACATTTTCCTTTGGTGATACTTCTTTGTAAACAGTAAAACAGTAAATTACACACTAAGCTTACAACAACTTTACCTTCATAATAATCCTAACTATAGGTGTGTTTAGACCTTCTTTTGCAGTTAAAGAAATTAAAGCACAAAATGAATTGATGTTATATGCTTAATAAAAGGTAAATCTGGGACTTTACCCTTTCTCTTAGGATTTTAAGCCCATTTTCCTTATTGGTTTTCCTACCCCTTATTTGTTTTCTCACCCCCTGCTTTGTCTTTTGCATCATTTTTTCATTCCCCTCTCTCAGAAAATGAGTTAAGCATGCTTATTTTGTGGCCAGAACTGGTGATGCAAAATGATTAAAAAAATAAATATTTCTAAGTATTACAGTTAATCAAATGTCATTCCTATATAACTACTTCCATAAGAAGCAATATGTCAATTGTCATTACCAATATGATTCTTCAGATCTAATGGTAGTGTAATCTAAGATTAATTTAGATCCATTTTTCCTGTGCCTCCAGGGATTACTTTGAAAATTATTCCAGAGTCTGGATTTATTCCCTTTTTCTATAAATGAACAACTGCATCTATAGGTTGGGAGGTTTGTTTTTATTTTGCTAAAAGTGTAGTTAATAAAGTATATTAGAATATTCATGTACATCCATCTTCTCTATACCTCATATGAGTGCTTTGAAAAACAATCCAGAGTCTAATTGTATTCCCATATATGATACTGATAGACAGCTTTATCTGTAGAAGGGAAAAGACATTTTAAAAAATAATAGTTGTATGAATATATAGATTCTGTCTATTTGTCATTCCAACACTATTTGTTATTCCAACACTCTTCCGATATAAAAAGTAGTGACTTTAATTATGTTGCCCAACCATTCATACCGTTGGTCAACTATCAGCATTACACCTACCCCCCAAATGCCCATCATCCTGGAAAGGAGCTCTGTGCTCCCTGTGCATTTGTCTTCTTTTCCTTCTTCCCCCTTCTAGCCCGTGTAACTAGTCATGTATTTTGATATCCATACCCTTGCTAATTCTAGCTATTTCATCGAAGTGAGATTACACAGCGTTTGTCTTTTTATGTGACTGACTTCTAACACAATGCTTTTTGCTTTAAACATATCATTTAATATAATGATTTCGAGGGTCAGCCTTGAAGCATCTAGCAATGCTCTGTGTTTCTCTCTATGGCTGCGTAATGTTCCATTACGGAGCCTGGGTGGTATAGTGGTTAAGAGTAGGGCTGCCGTCTCCAAAGTTGGCAGGTCAAAACTGG